GCAATAAAGTAGTGATAGAGCTTGCAAGACCGTACGAGTAAAAAAGCTTACGAGACCTAACAACCAATGGCTGTTTTTCATGTATCCCCTGGGGTGGGGGAGGGTCTGACAATGGTGCTTTTTTCGTCAGTTAAGGAAATTCAATCAAGTCTTCTATACGCTTCAAGAAAAATCTTTTACAATTTGACCTACTTTGCTGTATCTAGAATGATTCGCTATCACGATGAATGCTAACTCAGACTCCTACCAATTTACAACTGCGTACATTATTATTTTGATTTAATGTTTTTTGTACCAATAAATTTTGAACAGGTTATTAAATCGACTACATATTGATAGTGCCTCGCTCGGCTTCATCGATCAAAAACTATCAACCGTATCACGGAGTTGTAGTGGTAAACGCCAAAGGCACTGATAGTACGCTGTTACATACCCATTTCCAGATTCTTCTTTGAACGCGACGCAGATCTCGGCCACAGACAATTCCCAACGATGTTCAAGGTTTACCAAACTCTATCGTTACCAGTCGGGACATGATCCCTGTCGGGAATAGTGCATTTGTATCCTCATCATCATACAGCGGAACACAATAAAAAGCGTGCTTCTTCTTGTAAAACAAACACCAGNACACCAGTGGGGACGACGTGACGTTTCACTGAAGTTGAAAAGTCACTTATTCTGCGCTACTGTAAGACCAGTTCCGGTTGTGAGACCTTGAATCTGTGGGTAGATGACATCAGTCGCCTAGTGGTTTTCGACAATCGATGCTTATGTAGTCTGGCTCAGGTGGGATGGATTGAGCGGGTTGACAACCTAGAATTAAGTCGGCGTGTGCTTGAGAGTTTATCAAACTCACTATCGCATCGAATCCAGCTCAATCGGTTAAGTTATGTTTTACGTATGTCTAACGATCGCCTTCCGCACCGGGCCTTATTTACAGTAGCCGCTGGAGAGCCACGTGGAGGCCAGCGGAGGTCTTGGAGACGAGGCATGAAGAAATGCGCTGAGCGAATAGGTAGAGCTGGTATCTCTCGTCTTCTTGGTTGGGGTCCAAAGACTCCGTTATTGGATGGTTGGAGACACTGAAGGTCATGGGAGTAAACCGACAGCAGTAGCGATCTTGTTGTCTCTTCTTATCAGACCAGAATGCTTGAAATAGTATGTATGCACAATTGGACTGTGAACTGAGTGTTGACCATAGAGGTTCACGTTCTCTTTCGGTCCCTAAAAATAGACACAATCCCTATCCTTCTTACACATTCTCGCTTATCTTGTATGCATTATAAGTTTGACAGCTATCGATGGAGTTCGCTTCACTGTATTCCGCTGTGACATGATGACGAATGATGAATTTTATTTCAATTAATCTACGTGGAGCTTTGTGCAGGATTCGTGACGAGGTTTGTATTGCTACCCTGACGACTTCGGTCTAGTCTGTGTTCTGCAATGGCTCCTAGGTGTTGAGTAATATGAATACGTTTTCAACCGTGGTTCATTCTTTGCTCTGAATTACTTTTTTGTGCAGCTTGCTCTGGCTGCTGTTAAAGCATACCGCGAGAAAACGGAACGTTCTATCAAAGCTGAACGGGAAGAAGCTGTTCGAGTGCGCAAATTGTGTGGTTCCATCGCTCGTATGGTCCGTGATTGGTGGCGTCAAATAGACAAGGTTTGTTTACTTTTACATACGATGTTATTCATTCATGTTGATATCAGTTGCCCTTCTTTCGTGTAATGTTTGAGCTTTAAATAACATGTCAGTGAGACCATGGTAGACCGATACGACAAATAAGCATTGACGCTTCGTTCTGTAGCTATTGACCCATACTAAACCATCCAGACGTACGGCGCAAAGTTGACTACTGACTGGGATCTAGTCAAGAAGCGAGCGCTTAGCCTTAGCACTTAGCGCATTCCTAACACCAGCAACACCGCGAGCTTCGGATGTCGAATCTCCTGACACAGAGTGAAGCGTAAGGTTGAGGCTGGATCTGGAGGTCTCGAGGTGATGGTTGAAGTATGGTCCTGTATGCGCATTTCGGAAACAGCATACATCTAAGTTAAAAGTTTCAAGGATGCATCTCCTAAGGTTTGAGAGTGAGAAGAGGAAATGGACAGATGAGAAAGAGGGTTTTCCCAACGGTACCTGAACTTTTGGGCACGACATACGGCATCCCACACCGCCAATGGGGTTTTTCTTTGGGAACCCTTGGCTCAAACGTCTGACCCACAAAGCAGTGGGGCGTAGATCCAACATGGCAGCGTAAACAAAGCACCAGTATGGGAGCTTCTGGAGATCTGTCACGCAAGGCCTTTGAATTTCGATCAAGTTTGTTGTTCGCTGGTGCGTTGGTTGATGGTCCGCTTTTTGGGATCAGCCCTTATTCTCATGCACCCAATGAGACAAGCGGAACGTGAACCGGAGAGCACTTTATTGGCTGGGGACTACCCAGCTTGGGCGGGCGGTAGCTGTCCAGTGAAGTGTGGAGCCTTCTCCCACCGTCAAGAGGAAGCCCCTTTACCCTGCTCCTACGTCTATCTAATGGGGTTTCTTTGACCGGTAAACCGCCCCTCGTGTTTGTTACTGGAGTGACTTCTCGAATAGGTGGATAGTCAAGGGAAGCCAGTTGTCCATGCAACTAGCCTTGTGAGACTGATCTTCGTCTGGCTTCTACCCATTGACTTTCCGGGCATGATTTGATGTGCAGCTGAGGTTAGGCGTAGAGTTTTAGGTAATCGCGGTCGCCCACTGGATGAGGTAGTCGACCTGCATAAATTACGTTGATTGGGACATTTCCTGCGCATGTCACCAAGTAGGTTTCCACTGTGAGCGATGTTTGTCGGGATAGGCAATGGGTGGAGAAAGGTCAAGGGTGATCAACCCAAGACCTGGCATGAGGGTATGAAAACCCTAACCAGGAGTCTGGGTCACATAGGCCCCGTTAGGCTCTCTGAATGTTGACCCCGAGATCATGTTAACCGGTGGTTAGAGACACAGCAATATGGAAGCCAAAGAACAGTAACCGCCGTCTTATCAACGATCGTATCATAGAATCTTACTTGTATGCATTCATCTATTACCGGACACCTGCTTCATTTTCTATTCTTTACCGCTAATAATAGGGTTTCTGTCCTTCCTAAATTGGTTCATTTTATCCCATTCCATTCATGTTCTACTGCTCTTCCTTACCAACTTCATTTTGGAAAAGCCTTATGTTTTCCGCTTCTGTCCCATCTAAAAACTCCAGATCTATAAGTGTAAAATCTTTAAACTGGGCGTATCATCACAACCTGGCCTTTGATGATGAGCTTTACTCTCTTTTTGCCTTATTTTTCATTTTTACCTCCTTTTATTGAATATATGAAGATACAATTTTCGAAAGGGGCATGGAGCCAATTAAAAGGCTGCCGTTCAACGCACAGAGAATAGGGAAGTTAGGCAGTGGTGGTGCGATTTGAACAAGTCCTCCGGGCCGGGCCACAACCTCTCGATTCTTAATTAATAATTAATAAATTAAATAAAACTTGGGATGTTCATAGAACTCCTAGCTGAACTAGTGATGAACAGTCGGAATACGGTCATGAAAACTGAAAAGATGCTTAATCAGAAGAACTAGTAAGGAAATTTAATAACACCTGTGGTGCAGATCACAAAAGCCTACAAAGGGTACCTTGTCGTAGGTGATTTGTGTGCACCCTGGGATATAGTTTATTTTCATTTATTTTCTTTAGTGAACTATCTTTTTTGGGGTAAAATTTCAATTCAAGCAATACTTATGTCAAAATAGAACTACGAGGAAATCGGTTGACAAATCGCATCATAGTTCATATCTTTTTTTACTCAGACTGGATGCTATCGTCTTTCACTCTGTCCCCATTTCCTCAGATTGTGCATGCCAAACAACAAGCACGACTAGCCGTCAAACGGCAACAAGCAATCACCACACATTTGGGGCGCGTTCTCGAAACCACAGAGGAGTATACACGATGGCTCACCGAAGGAATCGCGGGCACATCCAACGCACAGAGTGCTAGCACCGGAGTACCCGTTTCAGATTCCACCTCTGATATGCCTGAGTCAGAAGTTCAGCTGACCGAAATGACTGGGTCGCCATCAGAAAGCGGTGACGTTTTGAATAAAGATCAGCAAGGGAATCGGAAACGCAAGAGGGTATCAACTGAGTCCACTAGTTCGGATTCAGAGTTCACGGTCAGTTTTATTGTTTTGTTTTTCTATTCACCATAGTGTTGTCCAGTTATGTTAGCCGTCTGTATAGCACTTGTGCTTATTTTTTGCTCACGAGAATTATTGTCTCTGTGAGTAGTCTGTTGTCAAGTTAGACTCACCGATAGTTCTTCGTGCTGTTTGTTATTAGTCGAAGCATAGTAATTCCCCATGTGTCATTTATCGAATTACCTTCGCTGCCATCTAGCGTTCCTCGATCTCGATGTTTGTTCGCATATCGTCGATTAATACGTCCAATCTTTCTTCGATTAACAAACCAAAGCCACTTCATAAATTCGAGTTGTCGTATGACCTACTAGATCCAATTCTCTCGGTATGACGACGATGCTGGAAAGTCACTCTATGGGTTGTACACAGCGGATTAAGCCGACTCACATCAAAATAATGGCAAAGATGGCTGTTAAAAAATAGGGATTGAAACTGAAGCTTACTAGCTAATCTCTGTAGTTCATACCTTTTGTTGAGTAATCAGTCACAGATTTCCGTTAGGTTATTTCTGTAAATCGCTCCTCATTTAGAGTTGATGAAGCTAATGGCGAAAATATCGAACCAACATTTTTTGATGTTTCCTTCATATTCAGTTAATCTACCACCGGTATCATTTTTAGGCCGATGAGGAAACGTTAGCAGCGGCAGAAGATGATGAAGAGACCATAGCTCGCGAGGAAGAGGAAGCGAAAAATGACACTGGTGACCCGGAAGTCTCAGCACAGACGGAGCTTGCCCAGTTGGCCGCTGATGCGGACTGTCCGATTGAAGATCTCATTCCACCGGGGTATTTGGAGGCGTGTGTGGCTGAATCGCCATGCAAGCCTGAAGATACTGCCGTTTCCGATTCGGATGCAGATGTGAGTCTAGGATTTTTTAACAAGTGTGACTGGTTCTTTCATCTTTCCTTCCACTCTTTTAACCTGCATCACATTTTCCGTGGTTTTACAGAAGCAGTCGGTAAACGGTTCCGATCAATCTTACGAAGCAGGCACAAATGAAGTACAGCTTGATGATGAGTCTACGATTGACGCACAAGAACGTCACGAGCGCCGACTGAGGCAATCACATTTAAAGGAAAAGCCTTCAGACTCGCCTTCGACCAATGAAGAACCAATTAACCACGAAGAGGAGATTGCGCAGCTCCAACGCGAAGCAGAAATGCCTCTGGACGTCTTACTCAAGGAGTTCGCGAAACACGCGGAAGAATCAATGGATGTTGAGGAACACCCATCGGACTCTGAATTGACCTCATCAACTCAGGGCTCGGATACAACGACATCGTCTGGTGAAGAATCTGATGATGATCGCACAACATTGACTGATACATCTTCCACCACGAGTGAACCGTCTTTGAGGGAGTTGATATGCGAAGAGATTGATAATGCATCCGAACACACAAACAAAGAGCAAAAGACAGAGGAATTAAAATCTACGATCAAAGGACCTCAAGAAGCCGTAAACTTACCAGGAGATCCACGTTCCGAAGAGGTGGAGAAGAACCTTGAGGTGAGTTGTGGGTTGCTTTAGTGGTAGTACCACTGATTTCGTAATCTGAGTTATCTAAGCCATGGCTCTCGTGACGTAAAACCACGTTGCTCACCCTACTGTATGATCAAATGATCATTCGCAAGTTCTCGCTAAATAATCGCAATGATCATGTCATCTTGTCCGATGTTAAAACGTTTACATTCTTGTCACCAAGATAGACAAAAAATGGAATTCCATGGCAAATACTGTGTTTTATCTTACGTTAAATAGCACAAATCATCTTTGCGAACTTGTTACACGTATTGCACTTCGTTCATCTCAGTACTAGCCTCCAGAGTTATGACTTGATCGAAAACACTCCAATCCGACTACTTGTTACATGCAACCCAATCAGGTCGAAGCAGCCTTGCAGCTTCCTAGCTTTTCAGTTAACACTTCATTTGCTATTTGCACGACGAAATCATCTATGTCACTGCTAATCAGTTGAGATAACAGTGTAACGTTTTACGAATCAAGCAAACGAGAGCGGAACAGAGAAGACTCGGAGTCGGAATTATACGCTTTACTCAACTAATAAATCCGGTACATGAGCTGTAATAGAAAGAGAGAGGTTTATGTAATACGCAATATAAAAGGGTGTATAAACAAGAGAATCAGAATATGACATTCACCCTGGCTGGGAAACGACCGTTTATTGAGGGTGAAACATTTTGAAAATGTTTTGTAGTGAAAAACAGCACTAAGTTCTGTTTCACGCTTCTCTATTTCGTAAGTTGTAAGGGAGTGTTCTCTGCTATTGTTCTAGTGTATCGGTATATGAGTGGGGTGTGAGCGTTGTCGGTGGAGGGATGCATTCTTCATCGAGGCCAAGGGGTTCGGGTAAGGTGTCGGATTCTGTCAGAGGGACAATGTTAAGCGGTGCGAGAGGAGAGTCTGTTGGTGCTAGGACTTTGGGTGTCGATATCGGTGGGTCACCCCGGGGGGCCAAACGGTGAATGGAAACATTCTCTGTTCTTCCGTTACGAAGTTTCACCAAGGCGTAATGCGGATTGCAGTTGATAAGGTCAACTTCTTCCGCGAGGGGATCCAGTTTC